TAAATTCAGAAAAACTTGGCTTACTAGGCAAATCGAGCCTTGCATAGTAGTCCGAGAAGTGCATTCTGGCTACTAGGAACGACAGACGTGTGTATATATATATATATATATATATATATATATATATATATATATATATATATATATATATATATATATATATATATATATATATATATATATATATATATATATATATATATATATATATATATATATAATATATATATATATATATATATATATATATATATATATATATATATATATATATATATATATATATATATATATATATATATATATATATATATATATATATATATATATATATATTTACACACGAGTCAAGCTTGAATGGTCTATCCATATTTCTATCCTTGAGCATACCTGTCATGCCTCTGCTCTTCGTGCTGGGTGCTATAAATTCATCATTAATGATTGGGGGACTTTAAACCACCAAAAGAATGATAGAGATATTGAAGTGTCTGGCAAGGCTTTAAAGGCGGTGATGTGTCAGTCCTTATGCCTACAGGAATCAGAATACACAGTACCTCTAATGCAATGACCCGTGGCCAGGGTTGCCAGATCCAAATTGCTAAAAGTAGCGAGCTGACGGTCAAAAAGTAGCGAATTTGCAAGTAGAGTAGCCCAATTTTTTGTTTAGTCAAATCGAATCAAATCAAATGTTTATTCAGGTAAAAGTACATACATACAAGATGAGTTACAAACATAATGTTAGGTTTCTAGATAGCGACAGTACATACAGACAGACGACATTCAAATTTAGTAAGTTTATCTTCCTTCTTTGATAGAACAGACTTGATGCTCATCTGCTGATGACTTACCTCCAATATATTTTGTCTGTGTTTTAATGTTTCACTGTGTTTCTTTAAACCACTTCTATGACTCTGTGACGGTAAAGCGTGGGTGTTCGGCTGTTTCAAAAGCTAGGGGCAGGGCCTCGTCACATAATAGAAAAAAAAGAGAAAAGCTGGAGCTTTCGTCTGTGGTAAGGTAATGGGAAGACACACAAAACACAAGTAAATTAACAATGAAATTTAATTACTTTAGAAAAACAAGACATGAATAAAGTTAATCACATCAAAATATGAAAGACAAGTCAACAAACAAAATAATATGAATAATCACTGGCAAATGAAAAGTTACGTTATGACAAGTGAGTTACAGTGATAGCAAAATAAAATATAAGTGGTTGTGGAATATTGGCTTCGAGCTGCCACCTCCCTTAGTACACGAAAGCCAAGGCTTAGTCTACCAGCGAGAGATGTCAACTGCTTGGAGCACTGAGATATTCTGACGATATTAGCGCACTGCAGCCCAGACGTCAACTTGTGGTGGAGGCGGAGGGCAGGTGCGACGGGACACCAGCCAATCAGCGACAGGCAGGCAAAGGATGAGCAGTTTGCTGGTTACGGCGGTGGTAGGTAGCAGGTATCACTGTGTTCTGGGTACGATTTGCTCTCTGGGCAAAACGTTTGGCGATACTTGCTGGACGTATCTTCTATATTATCTTGTATATTGACGTACTTTGTAGGGAAAAGCAGGCTCAATCTCTCTTGAAAGAGATTATCGTCACAGCTCTTATCTCAGTTCTACAAACTTTACAATATGCCATATTTCCATCTTCTTTCACTTCAGCCAACCACTTTTCAAACACGGAATCCTTAAGCCAGGACATCTGAAACGTTTCCTAGTATTTAGACCACTTCCCCATTTTACACTTCTTTATCTTAACACTTAAGCAAATTCTAGAAGTAACAGCGGTAACTTCTTTTCTATATGCGGTAACTTGTGTCGAACTATCCTTCTTGAGGTCAGAGCCACACTAACAATGAAAGCACAGATGACGCTGCCAAGTTCACTGTATGCTAATCCGCTCTAACGACAGTCATTTGATTCTTGGAAACACCTAAAGAGAAACCTAATATTTACAGTAGGCAACAGTGGGAGGTCACTTAACATAGACAGTACCCGGGATGAAGTATTAATGGCAATTAACGTTGGGAAATCTATAGCCCCTGGGGAGGATTATCTTGCCTTGCGGTTACTTTTTCTTTGGGAAGTTCCTAGGATCAACGTCCCCAGGGGGTCGGTCTCTGACCTGGCCTCCTGCAGTAAGTGGTCTATTCAATCAAGCTGTTGGACGCGGCTGTGATTTGTACACATGACATTATAAAATGCATACAAATCATCATTGAGTTTCTTAACATTAATAGCCCAAATTGTTTTTAAAGTAGCCCAAAAAGTCGCAAGTAGCGAAATTAAAAAATTGGGAGCGCGGGGCTCTGAAAAGTAGCCCAATTCGCTACTTGTAGCCCAATCTGGCATCCCTGCCCGTGACGACTTTCTATATAATATCTGATTTTAAATATTATGAAAGATGTTTTTTTTTCATAATAACCTGTTCCTCTAGTTCATGAAATTTCCCCACTGTTCTTACACTTAAAATGCTTCTTAACATCTCTATGACTCAGTTGCATCTCATGCTTCCATACATGTCCTGTTGTACGTTTGGCATTAAGTGTGAACATTTTCTCCTTTTTTTCACTCTCAATCTTCAAAGTATTTTATCTGTCTTTATAATGTCCTCCTCTCTCTCCTCTTTTTTCTATCGTCGATAGGCTTAGTTCATTCAGTATCTCTTCATTCTTGAACGAGCCTTCTTGCATACTTTTCAACTTTTCGTGTTTCCTTATTGGTTTCTTTAGACAAGGTTCCACGAAGAGGCAGCATTCTCCAAAACTTGTCTCACGTAGGCGGTTTACAGCGATCTAAATGTATTTTTATTAAGGTTCTTGAATCATGTTCTGAAATATGCTAGAATAGAACGTGCTGCTGTTATTCTATTTAAATGAGGCTTTGGAGTTAGGTTTGGTGTTATGTTCACTCACAGGTGTTTTTGTCCACTGGTCGTTATAGAGAGGTAGTTCCCCTTCGTGATCTCTACATTTAGTCACCTGACGCCTGTGCCCATTTCCATTACCTTACACTTGCTGGTGTTGAATGCCAGTAGCCATTTCTTTGACCAACTTTACAGCTTGTTAAGCCGTCTTGGAGTATCTTACAATCCTCGTTGGTCACAGCTCTTCTCATTAGCTTTATATCTTCTGCAAACATAGCCATATAAGACTCATTTCATGTAGAAAGGTCGTTTATATAAATGAGTATGAGTCCTAGCATCGATCCTTGAGGTACTCCGCTTGTTACTCTACACAATTCTGACTGCTCGCCCATCACTGTTACTCTCTGACAGATCTCTCTAACATGATCTCTCTGATCATGTAAGTAAAACTTTGCCCATGATAGGGCTTTTTCGCTTACTTCCACCTGTCTCTCATGTTTGTGTTGACAGACACAAACAGTACAGTACCTCTTATGAGGTACTTTATCAAAGGCTTTTTGGCACTTCACAAATATGCCTATCTACCCAACCTTCTCTCTCCCGCCTTATTTTCGTTACTTTAACATTGAACTCGAGTTGGTTTGTCAGGCAAGATTTTCCTTCCCTAAAGCCATGTTGATGTTTGTTTACATACCTAATTTTCTCCAGGTGTGAAATTATTCTTATTTTTATTATTCCTTCGAATATTTTGCAAGGGATCTTGAGGTTATCTCCAGATGATTTCGGGGCTTAGCGTCCCCGCGGCCCGGTCCTCGACCAGGCCTCCTTTTTGTTACACCCCCCAGGAAGCAGCCCGTAGCAGCTGTCTAACTCCCAGGTACCTATTTACTACTAGGTAACAGGAGCATCAGGGTAAAAGAAACAACATTTTGCCCATTTGTCTCCGCCTCCACCGGGGATCGAACCCGGAACCTCAGGACTATGAATCCGAAGCGCTTTCCACTCAGCTGTCAGGCGCCTGTGGATGCTCGTCAGTGACACCGGTCTGAAGGTAGGTGCCACTTCTCTATTCCCTTTCTTGTAAATTGGTGCCACATTTACCTTCATCCAGCAGTTGAGCAATTCTCTCTTTGTAGATGACTCGTCAAAGATCAATGCTAGAGGTACCCTGATGGTCTGTGCTGCTTCTTTTAACATCCATGGTGATGAATTGTTTGGTCCAATCGTTTTAGTTTCATCTAGTGATGCTAGTTGATTCCTCTGCTGTTACTTCAGTAATTGTGTTTGTGAGTGTGAAAGTGTTCCTGTGTGTGCTGTATGGATGAAGCATAGATACACACGCAATTTATCAAAGTATATTCATACGTTTATATCAGTTTACAAATGAGTTTATAGCAGTTTACAAATGTATCATCATCTGAGCCACTAAGAAGTCGTAGTCCAATTTAATAATTCTTAGTGCAGAAGACGTAGTTCAAATTTAGTCATTTGTAGTACATATGATGAAAGTTTCTTGTTAATGAAACTGGAAGCATTATATCATGAACCCCTAATACCAATAATTGGTGTTACGGGTACGCATCATTTTAGTACACCGTATGTGTGCATACGACATACAATACTGTATTCACACATACACACACTTTTGAAGGCTGCTGCGCTGTCTCTTCCAGACACCGATTCCGCACTAGTTAATCTTAAACAATGTAAATACATCGAAACTGAGGATGTCAACATTATGAAGAAGTTTCTGAAAGTTGCTAAGGAAGCTACATTATTTTTGTCAATATTTCTAAACACCCTTATCCTGACCATAATTATAAGATGAGAGGTTAAGGTGGGTATTATCGTCATGAAACACACAGCAAAGATGAAATATAATTTAGATAGCACGAAGTGATGTACATTTTTAATTTCGAAACATTTATCTTCAACAAACACATCAGGACTTGCGAAATATGTTTGGTATGTAATTAAAATTTATATTTGTTCAACAGACGTATGGAAGTAACATATAATTTAGAGGAGCCTGATTGAGTACTTACGCCACGGTGAAGTTGCCAGGTAGCGAGAATGATCCGGCCCAATATAGCGCGAGTGCTGAGCCAGCTGTGCCTCAGTCGTGGCCCGCTGCTGCTGGTGCTGACTGTGGTGCCTCCTGCAGCACCCTCAGCGTCTCAGGGAAGCAGTGAGGTTTTCCCGGCACCTTGAGTGTCCGCACTCCTCATATACACTTCACTCGATAACATATACCAGGTAATTTATTTTCTTTGTAAACCTTAGATATGTATTTTACTAATCTCTGTAAATCTGCACTTACGAGTTAACTTGGGTCATGAAATGTACTAAATGTACTTACTCCTCGTTAAGTAATCAAAGACTTTAGTCATAAATGTAGTACATTTATAACTAGAAAGTGTACATAATAGTACACTTATGTATAATCAAAGAAAGTATACTTATGTATATGACTTACATAAGAGTCACAATAACCATAGCAAGGAAACACTGTTATTATCAGAATCAGAAACATTAATTAGAAGCAATTCATACAGATCATTTAAGTGCTGGCGGGGGTAAACAGATGTATATTAATCTGATCAAAAATTACATCTTGGCATAAAGTGAGTGACATTAAGCTACGAATCAGAAACATGATGTATAGAGAAGACAATATGTATATTACAAAATTAGGATGATGAAAAAAATGGAGGTAGAACTAATATAAACTAATCATTCCATGATGTTGTACATATCAGTACACCCTCAGCATTCTTTGTCAACAGATTCTGGGACTATCCTAGTTAAAAATCAATCCACACACACACAGCTCATATAACATCGACCTGACTTCATTTGGACTCTAAATGCCTGCTAGTAAACCATCTCTGTTACACTAGTTTCTTAATCCTTCCAAATATCCAGCTGTAGGTCTCCCTGCTGACGAGTGGTGTTATCATGTCATGTAGACCCACTACCCCCTATTATTAAAAATATCACTCATTCTTAAGTTGTATTTCCTAACAGTTAAATTTACATATCTGGAAAAGTAGGAGCTGCCAGTGATAAGTGAGTGCATGATATACTTTTCCTGGAAAATTCTTAGGCAGAGTCTCTCTGCCTAGCAATTTTAGATTTGGATCGCGATAAAATGAATCCTGTGTGTTAAAAGCAGTCCCAGCACATTTTGCAGGATTGAACGTTGTGTTTAACACTATATCTTTCACATATTTGTATAAAATTTTCCATAGCTTCTTTGGTCGGTGCAAGTGGAACTATGGAACTAGTTCATCAGCATAACAGAAAACTTTGGCCTTAGTAGAGCCTATACGACAGCCGACTCTACTGGTTGGCTGCCTTATTATAGGTTAAGAACCTAGCACAGACTGGTTCTAAACTTATTTAGCAATGGAATCATGATAGATAAAAAACAAAATCGAACTAAGAACCACACCTTATTTGACCCAGATGTTTTCCACAGCTAATTTGCATAATTAAGCTGCTATCCAATGTATTAGTGTCTAATGAGAACAGGACATACTTTTCTGCTAAGCAATTCTCTAAAAAGTTCGATGTGTTCAACTTGTCACGCCTTGGAAACGTCCATAAACAGAGAGAGACCAGAGCTGTCTTGTGAGGTGTAGTAGTGAATAGTTTCCACCAGACGAAACTACAGAGGGTAGTTGAGTAATCAGTTCTGTATTCAAATTTGAAATCAAAGATGTCTAGTTCTTCAGCTAGAAGGTCAATGAGTAGATAATCAAATACTTTGTTTGCATGATATTACATGAGAGCTACCAACACTAGTGGCCTCGACGAAGCCAGGAAGTCGGCGGCTTGTTGAAGGCCCCCCACCCATTTACCTTGAACTTTCCAACTGTACTTTAAATGTTAATATAATTTTGGTATTAACGGCTTGGGCGGGAAGGTAGTTCCACGTGTTCATAACCCTGTGGGTGAAGTCATCTCTTGTTCTCAGTCCTATATTGTGGTTTGTTGAGCTTGAAACAGTTGCTCCTTGTTTGTGTTACATCAGACCTTATAAAGAAAATAATAGTTGTTGGTCAAACTACACACTAGAAGATGTAAATACCACGACGTTTCGGTCCGTCCTGAACCATTATCAAGTCGATTGTGTCGACGTCTTTTCATCTTCTAATGTAGTTTGGTCAACATTTCTTCATCCACATTATTGTGTCTCATCATTTGCAAAATAATAGTTGTTCGTGGCAATAGAACATAAGAATGAAGGTAACTGCAGAAGGCCTATTGGCCCATACGAGGCAGCTCCTATTTATATCCACCCAATCTCATTATTATATATGTCTAACATACTCTTAAAACAATCAAGGGATCATACTTCTATTATGTTACGCGGTAACTGGTTCCTCAAATTAACAACCCTATTACAGAACTAGTATTTACCCAGGTCTTTCCTAAATCTAAACTAATACAATTTCTACCCATAGTTTCATGTTCTGTCTTGTGTTGATACTTTTAATACCCCTCTATTAATATCCCCTTTGTTGTGTCCATTCATCTACTTGTACCTCTATGCCATGTCACCCTTAGCAACGGGTGACATGATAGCTCTATAGCTTTAATAGCTCTATAATTCATCAGAAGACGCACATCGTTGAGGGTGTGGACACAATGCGGCCCAAACGTCTAAAGGTTAGAGCTACCAAGGGAGCCGGTCGGCCGAGCGGGCAACACGCTGGACTTGTGATCCTGTGGTCCTGGGTTCGATCCCAGGCGCTGGCGAGAAACAATGGGCAGAGTTTCTTTCACCCTATGCCCCTGTTACCTAGCAGTAAAATAGGTACCTGGGTGTTAGTCAGTTGTCACGGGCTGCTTCCTGGGGGTGGAGGCCTGGTCGAGGACCGGGCCGCGGGGACACTAAAAGCCCCGAAATCATCTGAAGATAACCTCAAGATAACCCCTCCTTGACGGTCATGCTTTCGGGAGAAGCAATATTCCTAAGGTCCTGAAGAACGTTACCGGCATCACACCCACTGACATTAGTCAGGAAGGTGATGATTTAAGAACATAAGAACAAAGGTAACTGCAGAAGGCCTATTGGCCCATACGAGGCAGCTCCTATTCTATAACCACCCAATCCCACTCATATACTTGTCCAACCCGCGCTTGAAACAATCGAGGGACACCACCTCCACCACGTTACGCGGCAATTGGTTCCACAAATCAACAACCCTGTTACTGAACCAGTATTTACCTAAGTCTTTCCTAAATCTAAACTTATCCAATTTATACCCATTGTTTCGTGTTCTGTCTTGTGTTGATATTTTTAATACCCTATTAATATCCCCCTTGTTATGTCCATTCATCCACTTGTAAACCTCTATCATGTCACCCCTAACTCTTCGCCTTTCCAGTGAATGCAACTTAAGCTTTGTTAATCTTTCTTCATATGAAAGATTTCTAATTTGGGGAATTAACTTAGTCATCCTACGTTGGACACGTTCAAGTGAATTTATATCCATTCTATAATAAGGCGACCAAAACTGAACTGCATAATCTAAATGGGGCCTAACCAGAGCAAGATATAGCTTAAGAACCACACCAGGTGTCTTGTTACTAACGCTTCGATTAATAAATCCCAGTGTCTTATTCGCCTTATTACGAACATTCATGCATTGATCCTTTTGTTTTAAATTCTTACTAATCATAACTCCCAGATCCCTTTCGCAATCCGACTTCGCAATCTCAACACCATCAAGCTCTTATCTTGTAACTATCATCATTTCCTAACCTCAGAACTTTACATTTATCAGCATTAAACTACATCTGCCAATCATTTGACCATTTCAAAACCCCAGATTTCGATTTTTCGAAAAGATTTCGTGCTTTTCTTTTCATGTGAGGAAGAGCTATAAAAACTCTTGACCAACGATGCCATACTTCGCAAGGAGCACCACCTACATCCCCACTTCCCACACCAGTTCCTGGCCGGAAGACCTGGTTTTACCAGCAGGACCAGCCAATGGATCGCTGACCGACCGCAACATATTATAATATTTTGGACAATATCGAGGACGAAAATCCGAACCTGGGTGTAGTCAACCTAGAGATTTGCAGCACCTACAAAACATCAATGAAGATTACTTTCACCACCATAGCTGCAGCCACCTAGGCGGCCACAGAAGATTTCTACTGCTTAGACTTACAAATACAACCCCACCAAGTAAAAAAAGAGGAACGATACCATGAGATCCAGCAGTGCTTCAAGTGCTGCTACGAGCTCTCCCACCCGACCACCAAGTGTCAGCACCCTGTCCAGAAGTGCAGCCTGAGCGCACTGAACCATCACTACTCCATATGTAAGACAATAACCCATCGCTGCTTGCTCTGTGATGGCAATCACCAGTAAATTATACTACTTTCCCCATAGACTGGAAAGCATCAAGTCTCAGGTTAAAGCCAAGAGACCCAACTGTATTGTAGTCGTGACCAGTGTAGTGTAGTCGTGACCCGTGTAGTGTAGTCGTGCACAATGTAGTGCAGTATTGCACAGTGTAGTGTAGTCGTGCAAAGGGTAGTGTAGGGTAGTCGTGTACAGTGTAATGCAGTGTAGTCGTGCACGGATTAGTGCAGTGTAGTGCAGTGTAGTCATGTACAGTGTAGTGCAGTGTAGTCGTGCACAGTGTAGTGTAGTCGTTCATAGTGTACTGTAGTGCAGTGTAGTCGTGCAGAGTGTAGTGGTGCAGAGTGTAGTGCAGTGTAGTCGTGCCCAGTGAACTGAAGTGCAGTGTAGCTGTGGACAGTGTAGTCGTGCACAATGTAGTGTAGTCGTGCACAGTGTAGTGTAGTCTTGCCCGAAACGCTGTGGCTTTAGGCTTAGTATATACTAGTTCTATAAACCCGTTACGGCCACTATGGGCCAGTAACCGGGTTCTTGATGTTATAACATCTTTTACAGTATCCGACCCCAAGTCGATAGTACGTTTTTAAGAACTGGCGGTATAGTACAATAAAGAATAAAGAGGGGAATGAACAATACACTGTTCCCTTCACCAACATATTCACCGTCACCAATATATATATATTATATATATATATATTATATATATATATATATATATATATATATATATATATATATATATATATATATATATATATATATATATATATATTATATATATATATGACTATATATATATATATAGTACTATATATATATATATATATATACATTATATATATATAGTACATACCAGTTGCGTTGCTCCTGGCAGTATGGGTTCGAGTCACTTCTGGGGTGTGAGTTTTCAGTCGCATATAGTCCTGGGGACCATTCAGGCTTGTTTGCATTATATATATTATATATTTGTGTATACAGTCAGCAGGTTTTCGTTTAAACATGTCTCATTGAATATGACTGCATATTCTGTATTTACTATCTTCTGATTTAGGGCTTCTATCCCTATAACTATTTTTCTAGCATCAGGGCTTAGCTGAAAGAGTTCTTTAAAACTCATGTTCGTTATTTTAAGGTGAAGAAAAAAAGTTAATTACTATAGAATGTATTACACTTATTTATACAATTTGCACAACGTTTCGAACCTCCATGGTTCATTCTCAAGTGAAAAGAAATTACAGATCTTGCTAAATTTATACCAGTACGGGGTCAGGTGATAAAACAAGTAGAATAAGGAAAAGGCCAGTAGAATAAAGGAAAAGAAAAAGGCGTATATACAAAACCTACCAACATAGGATTATGCCTGAACGGTAATAGTGAGTTCCCTCAAAGATACAAAACCAGTGTTCTTAATGCTTCTATTCGTCGAGAGCTTACACACTGCTCTGAATGGAGCAATGTAAGTAGAGAATTTGAAAGATTAACTCAGGTACTGGTGAACAACGGATATAGCAACACGGAAATAAACACCGCTATAAGAAGACTCCTGGACCGATGGTACAAGCCTGAACCTAGTACAGAAACCATAACACCAATAAAAGTATATTACAAATCTACTATGCATAGTGAACATAAAAAGAAGAAAGAATAAAGAAGGAAATAATTCGTAAAGAAGTAAGAGGCACTATCCCTGCTAAACACTTACAACTGTGTCTCTTTCACACAAGACAAATACTTCTATATCGTTCATCACTCTAGTATTGTTACAAACACTGCACCCTGTCCACTTGTACTAGACAACACGGACAAGTTCACCTTTTACATGGGCTAATCCACCCACACAGTATCACGATGCGTCTACACTCCACCTGCGCTCTCCAGCTACTCATTGGCAGAGGACTCCAGCAACCTGCTGACAAGGATCCCAAAAAAACTCATACAGGAGTAGCTAACCCCTGGCAGAAGCCTCTGGCAACTTGCTAGCAGCACTTCCTGCTAGGCACATCACAGTAACCCTAAATAGCCAATCCTGAGGTACGCCGATCCTCCACAACACTACGTATACCAGCAGCTAACACACTGCTTAGATCGACGGCAGCTACTTAGTCTTCTTGCAGGACTAAGCGAAGGGTTCGTGGAATGCCCAAGGTAAACTGTCTTCCTCAGCACAACCGCCTCCACATGTCACCTCTGTGGACATAAAAACGTCGTTAATTAGATGGACAGGATATATATATATGTCGTACCTAGTAGCCAGAACACACTTCTCAGCCTACTATGCAAGGCCCGATTTGCCTAATAAGCCAAGTTTTCCTGAGTTAATATATTTTTTCTAATTTTTTTCTTATGAAATGATAAAGCTACCCATTTCATTATGTATGAGGTCAATTTTTTTTTATTGGAGTTAAAATTAACATAGATATATGACCGAACCTAACCAACCCTACCTAACCTAACCTATCTTTATAGGTTAGGTTTGGTTAGGTAGCCGAAAAAGTTAGGTTTAGGTTAGGTTAGGTAGGTTAGGTAGTCGAAAAACAATTAATTCATGAAAACTTGGCTTATTAGGTAAATCGGGCCTTGCATAGTAGGCTGAGAAGTGCGTTCTGGCTACTAGGTACGACATATATATATATATATATATATATATATATATATATATATATATATATATATATATATATATATATATATATATATATATATATATATATATATATATATATATATATATATATATATATATATATATATATATATATATATATATATATATATATATATATATATATATTCAGGCGAACAAGCCTGAATGGTCCCCAGGACATATGCAACTCCTGAGTGATATATATATATATATATATATATATATATATATATATATATATATATATATATATATATGTCGTACCTAGTAGCCAGAATGTACTTCTCGGCCTACTATGCAAGGCTCGATTTGCTTAATAAGCCGAGTGATTTTCTTTTTTTTCAAAATACTGTTTCCAATTGGTTTATTTGTAATAATATTATTATATTATATTAAGAACATAAATTACTGACGTAGTTATGTTAGTTAAGGCTAGATTAAGATAGGTTAGGTAGGGTTGGTTAGGTTCGGTCATATATCTACATTAGTTTTAACTCATATTAAAAGAACTTGACTCATACTTCATGAAATGGATAGCTTTATCATTTCATAAGAAAAAAAATCGAAAAACATATAAATTCAGGAAAAGTTGGCTTATTAGGCAAATCGGGCATTGCATAGTAGGCCGAGTACTGCGTTCTAGCTACTAGTTACAACATAAAACGTAAGCAAACTATGCGTGGCTGGGTTTACTTTGCCTCGCTGGTGTCCAGTCTTCTGTTGTCGCTGTATCTCTCGATTATTTTGGTGTTTGTGCTTATATCTCTGTTCATGGTTTTGTTATGTAAAGAGTTTATATGTTCTTTTATAGGTCCTTGTTGCTTGTTCGTTGTTAGGCGTCTTGAAAGGGATGATGTTGTCATGCCAATATATTCAGTTTGTTAGGGCTGACAGTCCCCATGCGGGCATGTGATGGCATTGACAACATTCGTTTCTTTCAAAGGGCGTTGATTGGTATCAGGAGAGTTCTTCATGAGCAAATTGGCAGTATTCTTGCTCTTATCGTATATTATTAGTTCAATCTTGTGGTTGATGTCAGTAGGGGTCTTGTGGTTGATGTCAGTAGGGGTCTTGTGGTTGATGTCAGTAGGGGTCTTGTGGTTGATGTCAGTAGGGGTCTTGTGGTTGATGTCAGTAGGGGTCTTGTGGTTGATGTCAGTAGGGGTCTTGTGGTTGATGTCAGTAGGGGTCTTGTGGTTGATGTCAGTAGGGGTCTTGTGGTTGATGTCAGTAGGGGTCTTGTGGTTGATGTCAGTAGGGGTCTTGTGGTTGATGTCAGTAGGGGTCTTGTGGTTGATGTCAGTAGGGGTCTTGTGGTTGATGTCAGTAGGGGTCTTGTGGTTGATGTCAGTAGGGGTCTTGTGGTTGATGTCAGTAGGGGTCTTGTGGTTGATGTCAGTAGGGGTCTTGTGGTTGATGTCAGTAGGGGTCTTGTGGTTGATGTCAGTAGGGGTCTTGTGGTTGATGTCAGTAGGGGTCTTGTGGTTGATGTCAGTAGGGGTCTTGTGGTTGATGTCAGTAGGGGTCTTGTGGTTGATGTCAGTAGGGGTCTTGTGGTTGATGTCAGTAGGGGTCTTGTGGTTGATGTCAGTAGGGGTCTTGTGGTTGATGTCAGTAGGGGTCTTGTGGTTGATGTCAGTAGGGTCTTGTGGTTGATGTCAGTAGGGGTCTTGTGGTTGATGTCAGTAGGGGTCTTGTGGTTGATGTCAGTAGGGGTCTTGTGGTTGATGTCAGTAGGGGTCTTGTGGTTGATGTCAGTAGGGGTCTTGTGGTTGATGTCAGTAGGGGTCTTGTGGTTGATGTCAGTAGGGGTCTTGTGGTTGATGTCAGTAGGGGTCTTGTGGTTGATGTCAGTAGGGGTCTTGTGGTTGATGTCAGTAGGGGTCTTGTGGTTGATGTCAGTAGGGGTCATATTTCAATCACTAATGTTTTTCAGGACTCTTCCGTTTTGTGAACTGTGGAGAAGTTCCTGTAGAATATTTTAATAGTTTAGACTGGCAGTGTAATGTTGTCGGCTCCGTATGAGGATGCATGGTGGCTCACCTTCCTTTCAATTATCTCGTCGACATATTTCATTATAGTATCCATTATTAATTAGGACCTGCCTTACACTACCGAGTTCCTTGTCAATCAGTTTCCAATTGGAGCTGTGTGAAGTCGCTGATTATATAGGCCTTAATAACACTGCGCTTCTCCCTGGCAGGGCACTCCCTTTTACCATTAAGGCACATTCATATGTTGGTTCCTTAGGGTAAACTGCAGTGTTAAGCCTCCATTCCTTTCTGTTAGACTGTTACATCTAGGAAAGACATCTTGCCTTCGCTCTCCGTCTCGTAAGTGAACCTTAACACTGAACTTCGCTCGACGGCATCCTTAAGCCACAACATATGGTCAATATCAGGTACCTGCAGGAATATGTCGTCTACATATCTTTAGTATACACTCGGCTTTAAGCCCATGTCAACAAGGAATTGCTCTTCGACAGTTCCCATGTAATAACATTTGCTAAATATTACATTATATTATCAGCAAATATAATTTTGCATTGACTAAATCAAGTTCTATAAAATAACTGCGTTCATGTCTTATAGGTAAAAAAAAATATGCTTTTAATTCCGTAGAGGATGACAGGGCGCTGGCGGAGAGTGCGCGTGACCAGCATGGGTGACCGCGGCGTCTTCGTCGGGATGTGGATGAACGGACACACAGTGCGCACGATAGCTCAAGACACAGGCAGCAGCTTGACCACGGTCAGGAGGTGGATAGCGAGGTGGAAGCGAGAAGGGAACGTGAATACGAAGCCTCGTAGGGTTAGAACTCGTACCAAGACTCCACGTATAAAGTCCGGTGCTGCTGCAGAGCGAAACCTTGCTCCGAGAAGCTTAGCGAGTTGCAGCAACTACCTCGCTCAGCACAGCTTCCCAGCAGTTTACAGTTCTCACCCTCCGTCCTGTACCCAATGTTCTGAACACATTTTACTGAATTATTATTTAACATTTCAGCAATATATTATCGGGTCTGTATTCAGGAGATTGATTGGAGACGGTCTCAGGCCTTCAGTGTTTCCCTGTCTGTAATAAGATGATAGTGTTACCAATACGATTGTTTAAAGTGAAAGTTAAGTGTTCACAGATAGAACTTCTCACCGTGAACACGGCGACAACATTGTTACATGGGACCCGTTAACTGTCATATATGAGGCGACATACTGTGGTTTAAAGACGTCTACGATATTAATGGTCTTCGACTCTATAAAGCTAATGGAAAGTCTGCCCATAATACAGTTCATGTGAAAATATTATATGATATATACAAAAATTTACATTAATATAAATTAAAACATGTTGATCACCGAATCGTTTCTTAGTTGCCTATTACTGTTTAGCAATAAAACAAAATGGTGCAAAACAATTTATAATTAATTATATATAATGGATATCACACATTATATTCTCAGAACAAGTTATTACCAAACAAATAATATACATAAATACAGATAGAAATATTATAAGCAACATGTAAAGAAACTGGAAATAATGATGTTTGACGAGCCGGTCGGCCGAGCGGACAGCACGTTGGACTTGTGATCCTGTGGTCCCGGGGTCGATCCCGGGCGCCGGCGAGAAACAATGGACAGAGTTTTTTTCACCTAATGCCCCTGTTACCTAGCAGTAAAATAGGTACCTGGGTGTTAGTCAGCTGTCACAGGCTGCTTCCTAGGGGGTGGAGGCCTGGTCGAGGACCGGGCCGCGGGGACACTAAAAAAGCCCCGAAATATATATATATATATATATATATATATATATATATATATATATATATATATATATATATATATTCTATATATATATATATATATATATATATATATATATATATATATATATATATAATATATATATATATATATATATATATATATATATATATATTCATATATATATATATATATATTCATATATATATATATATATATATCATATATATATTCATATATATATATATATATATATATATATATATATATATATATATATATATATATATATATATATATATATATATATATATATATATATTTTTTTTTTTTTATATATAGAAGGGAGTACCACCTCTAGCTGGAAGAAGGGGGACCCATAGCCTCGGAGGAAACCACGCATAACGCATTAGAGGGAATGTTTAGATCCCCTCCAATACAGTTTCTGTGTGCTTTTCTCCTACCACCCCCTTCCTTTTTTATTTTTTGTGCTTTATTATGCATTTGATGGTTACAAGATATACATGGGTTGATACAAAAATAATATATACATATATATATATATATATATATATATTAGTATATTTTGGTAGCAGTCTTTCCTGTAGACATATATTATTAAATATGACCGAAAAAGTAAGATTAATAATTCTAACACGAATTTTCTCAATCTTTCGTACATTACGCTTCACTGTTGGAGGTAAATCAAAAATCACTTCTCCAAAATTCATTTTTATTTCTAGTCTGACGCGACACGGGCGCGTTTCGTAAAACTTATTACATTTTCAAAGACTTCACAAATACAGAACTGATTAGAACGTATCTCTGATTTTATATCTACATTTGAGTGAGGTGGGAGGGGTGATGTGGCATTAACACAAGACAGAACACGAGGGGATATTAATAGGGTATTAAAAGTATCAACACAAGACAGAACAGAAACAATGGGTATTGAATAGAAGTGTTTGTAGAAAGCCTATTGGTCCATATTTCTTGATGCTTCTATATTGGAGCGGAGTCTTGAGGTGGGTAGAATATAGTTGTGCAATAATTGGCTGTTGATTGCTGGTGTTGACTTCTTGATGTGTAGTGCCTCACAAACGTCAAGCCGCCTGCTATCGCTGTATCTATCGATGATTTCTGTGTTGTTTACTAGGATTTCTCTGGCGATGGTTTGGTTATGGGAAGAGATTATATGTTCCTTAATGGAGCCCTGTTGCTTATGCATCGTTAAACGCCTAGAAAGAGATGTTGTTGTCTTGCCTATATACTGGGTTTTTTGGAGCTTACAGTCTCCAAGTGGGCATTTGAAGGCATAGACGACATTAGTCTCTTTTAAAGCGTTCTGTTTTGTGTCTGGAGAGTTTCTCATGAGTAGGCTGGCCGTTTTTCTGGTTTTATAGTAAATCGTCAGTTGTATCCTCTGATTTTTGTCTGTAGGGATAACGTTTCTATTAACAATATCTTTCAGGACCCTTTCCTCCGTTTTATGAGCTGTGGAAAAGAAGTTCCTGTAAAATAGTCTAATAGGGGGTATAGGTGTTGTGTTAGTTGTCTCTTCAGAGGTTGCATGGCTTTTCACTTTCCTTCTTATGATGTCTTCGATGAAACCATTGGAGAAGCCGTTATTGACTAGGACCTGCCTTACCCTACAGAGTTCTTCGTCGACTTGCTTCCATTCTGAGCTGTGGCTGAGAGCACGGTCGACGTATGCGTTAACAACACTCCTCTTGTACCTGTCAGGGCAGTCGCTGTTGGCATTTAGGCACATTCCTATGTTTGTTTCCTTAGTGTAGACTGCAGTGTGGAAACCTCCGCCCTTTTCCATGACTGTTACATCTAGAAAAGGCAGCTTCCCATCCTTTTCCGTCTCGTAAGTGAAACGCAGCACGGAACTCTGCTCAAATGCCTCCTTCAGCTCCTGCAGATGTCTGACATCAGGTACCTGTGTAAAAATGTCGTCAACATACCTGCAGTATATGGCCGGTTTCAAGTTCATGTCGACTAAGACTTTTTGCTCGATGGTACCCATGTAGAAGTTTGCAAACAGGACACCTAGGGGAGAACCCATGGCGACCCCATCTACTTGCTTATACATGTGCCCATCCGGGCTCAAGAAGGGTGCCTCTTTAGGGTAAGGCAGGTCCTAGTCAATAACGGCTTCTCCAATGGTTTCATCGAAGACATCATAAGAAGGAAAGTGAAAAGCCATGCAACCTCTGAAGAGACAACTAACACAACACCTATACCCCCTATTAGACTATTTTACAGGAACATATATATAATATATATATATATATATATATATATATATATATATATATATATATATATATATATATATATATATATATATATATATATATATATATACTACATATATATATAGATATACTACATATATATATATAGATATACTACATATATATATAGATATACTACATATATATATAGATATACTACATATATATATAGATATACTACATATATATATAGATATACTACATATATATATATATATACTACATATATATATATATATATATATATATATATATATATATATATATATATATATATATATATATATATATATATATATATATATATATATATATATATATATATATATATATATATATATATATATATATATATATATATATATGGTGTATACTGGCAGCAGGTTTTCTTTCAAACATGTTTCATTGAATATGACCGCATATTCTGTATTTATTATTTTCTGGTTTAGGGCTTCTATCCCTCTAACTATTTTCTTAGCATCAGGGCTTAATTGAAATAGGAGTTCTCCAAAACTCATTTTCGTACTTTTAAGGTGAAGAAAAGAAGTGATTTACTATAGAGTGTATTACACTTATTTGTATAATTTGCACGACGTTTCGAACCTCCATGGTTCATTCTCAAGTGAACAGATCTTACAATACTAGTTGATTTTATACCCGCATTAGGTCAGGTGATAATACAATGAAGGTGAAAACATGGGGGGATACATAAGGGATAAACATAGGGGCTGCAGAAGGCTTATTGGCCCATACGAGGCATCTCCTATCTAAACACAAAGATTAATCCAGTGTAATTGGCCTGTTATGTTGGACATTGTCTTCTGTGTTGGCATCGATATGTTCTTGTCTTGTCCTTACTCTCATGGTGGGTAGAGTAAATAGTTCCGTGATTTGGGTGTTCATGGTAGGTCGCTCTATTCTTATGTGAATTGCCTCAAGAATTTGTAATCTTCTTGAATCTTGGGTTTTGTCTATTATGCAAGTATTCTTGTTCAACATTTCTCTTGTTAGAGTAATGTCATGGGCTTGTCTCATGTGATTCCTAGGGGCACCAGATTGAAGATGGCATGTCAAACGCCTCGTCAGCTTGGTCGACGTCATACCTATGTACTTACATTTGAAGGTTACATCCTTCGTGGGGGCAAGTGTACATGTATACAACGCTTGACTGCTGTAGAGGGTTGTCCGTCGGCTTCGGGCTGTTTTTGATAAGGAGTTCGGAAGTCTTCTTGGTTTTGTAGAATATTATCAGGTTTATGTTTTGGTTAGGAGTAGTGCTTTTTACTCCTTTACGGATTATTTCTTTCATTATTCTTTCCTCTTTTATATGTTCACTGTGCATGGTTGATTTGTAATATAATTTTATTGGGGGTGTTGTGGTTTCTGTTCTAGGTTCTGAATTATACCAACGGTCCAAGTGTCTTCTTATAGCAGCGTTTATTTCCGCGTTGCTATATCCGTTGTTCACCAATACCTGAGTTACTCTTTCAAACTCTCTACTCACGTTGCTCCATTCAGAGCAGTGGGTAAGCGCTCGACGAATATAAGCATTGAGAACACTGGCTTTGTATCTTTGGGGGCACTCACTTCTACCGTTCAGGCATAATCCTATGTTGGTGGGCTTGGTATATACATTGGTGCTTAAGAGGTTCCTGTTTTTGTTATTAGTACATCCAAGAATGGCAGACTG